TAAAAAAAAAAAATTTTAATTTTAATTTTTAAAATGTTGGGTTGGACAGGAAAAGTGTTTAAAATGTACTCAAAATTTGACCCTCTGTGGTAATTACGCAGTTTTGATTTCAGCGACTTGAGCGATTCGGATGACAGGCTACAATACAATCGGAGCACGACACTGACACAGGCACAAGATATAATAATAATCATGAGTAGATTCCACAACAGCAAAAGACAGGCAACAGAAATGTGAAAATACAAACCCCATCCTTGGCCGGCTGTAAAGAGGAAGATAAGCGAAGGAATGAGCGATCAAAGTACGCAATGAATACCTATCCCGGTGGTTTTATGTAAAAATTAAATTCTGAAATTATGCAAACTGAGCTAAAAAAAAAGTGAAAATATGCGATTCTGTTAATTTTAACAAAGAATAATACACGAAAATAATCAGAAGTTATGCCCCCCCCCCCAAAAAAAAAAAAAATTTTTTTTTTTTTAAATCAAATTTTGCTAAATTATGCGGGGTGCATAAAACCACGGGGATATGTCACCATACCACTGCCACAGAATTAACAAAGTTCTATCTGTTCAGTAACTACTTTTGAGACACTCGACGTCAAAAATGTGTACAACATGCCAAGATTGTTTTTGTTTTTTTTATGCAATTCTTTGAATATCTTGAGGACTCCGAATAACCTTACGATTTTTATAGAGCAGATAGAATATTTGATTTCTGACCTCATGGTCTGTAACTCAAAACGGCCCAAAATGTCATAGAGAACTTTGTAATTCCAAGGTAGCGATATCGCGAGCTCAGAGCAATTTCGTAATGAACTAACTCACATTTTTAACCTTTGGGAGTAAAATTTAGTTTTAATTTTAGGAAGAGTTTTTATTAAAACTTCATATAGATCTAGCTGTTGAAAAAAAACTTCGCTTTCAGGCCAAAATTATCCAGCTCAATAATGAATGCCCATATTCCGTCGAATTTCAGTTTATTTAATTCAGACCTTACTCCAGAGTTCTCAAGACTGGAAGGCAGACAGTGCTTTCAAAATGATTTACATTTCAACCACAAAAAAAAACCCGGGAGTCAGTGCAAGACAAAGTGAATGTCAGATTGAGGACTTCATTCGTCGGAATACATATGTGAGGCAGCGTAGTGGAATCAGGCTCTCGTCAAAATAATCAAAGTGAAGAACTTGCATTTTTTCGTAGGTTTGTGAATTTTTATCAAATTTTTGTTTTTTGGCTCAACATCTTTCATGCCCATTAAAGAACTTATTTCTGGGTGGGTTTTTCTTTAAAATGTTGATTAAAGGCACAAAAAATGTAAATTTTCAGTTACCGCGGACTCTAAAGTAAAGGAAATACTAATCTTTGGCGGCCATTTTCTCACTAATTTTACTTCTGAAAAAGGTGACCCCCACTTTCTTCATTCGCCAATATCTCGACTTGTATTCAAGATAAATGGATATTTTTTTCATCCAAATAAAGACAAGTGAACAAGCTTTAAGATGATACCAATAAGTCTACATGCCCAAAAATTGACGAGAGCCTGATTCCACCACGCTGCCTCACATTTGCTCTACCACGTACATCCAGATATCTTCACTCCCTGTGGGGGACAACATGTGGAGGTAGCTACGACTTCATGTAAAGATTTAT